TTTCTCTCTTTCTTTTTATCTCCATCTATATGTCTTTCTCACTGGAAGGAGTACTTGTTAGTTTTCATTCACATTACTCTTGCATATCGATAGAGGTCAACGTGAAACAAAAGATTAGTGATTTCATGTTTGATTTATGCTTAAAGTTGTCAAACTTAACTAAGGATTTAATGATGTTTATAAACTTAACTATGTTTATAAACTTAACTAAGGATTTAATGATGTTTATGAAACAAATTATTATGACGTGCTTTAAAGCTAACTATGCGTTGCAACTATGATTTAGCTCCAGATTAATCTGGCTTTATCTAAGAAAATGCATCAATTTGAAACCATAGAAAAGTCATCTCAGTCCGTCAGAATGAAGTAAAATTTCTACAGACGACACAAAACGAAACAAAAAAACATGAGAAGGATAAAAGCATTGATAGTAGAAGATGCCATAGTTCATCCTTTAGAAATAAATTGCTAAACTGTAAGAATAAATAAGCGCGCAAGCATTAATCCCTCCCCCCCCCGTTTGTTGAATTAAGTCAGCATTCTAAACAAGAACGCATTGGAAAAAAGAAAAAACAATGTTTTTGAAACTTTTATTTAGATCACTCATAGTGTTTGGTACTAATGTCAAAGGTTTGACATCCGTATTTAAACTATTCTCTCATTTTGTACACATGCTGTTTGTAGATGACAATTCAGTGTGATGAAGCAAAATTTGATTTGGATGTTTTGCAATTTAACGTTGAAACAAATTTTCGCACATATCTTTGTTTAACGAACAAGGTCACAGAATTTTAGTTGTTTGCACAATCCGATGCAGAGAAAAGGATCTTTTAAATGAAATCTGCAGCGTGATTTCTGAGCTTTTCGCGAAATTTCGATTATTGTTCTACGTTTTAGTCTAAAAGTATTTAACGTCATGATTCTTACATTTTAACATCTAAAACTGCATCCACTATAAAGTTTTAAAATAAAAATATATTTATTGGGCAATTTTCTGTAAATTTAAAAAAAAATATGCTGCATATGTTTTAGCGAAAAGAGAATTTGGTTTTTCTTCAGTGTCGCGTGATTCGTTTGGAGTTTCTAAGTTGCGACGTCATTATATGTCACCCTGTTTTTCTTACTTCCGCATACTTTCTATAATACTGATTTTATTTATTTATTTAATCTTTCTTTTTGCTTCCGTATACTTTCTCTACTGCTGATTTTATTTATTAGTATAATCTTCTTTCTTGCTTCCATATACTTTCTCTGATAGTTATTTTTATTTAGTTATTTAAACTTTTTTTTTTTTTTTTTTGTATCCGTATACTTTCTCTGATACTAATTTTATTTATTTATTCAATCTTTTTCTTGCTTCCGTACACTTTCGCTGATACTGATTTTATTTTACTTACTTAATACTTTTCTTGCTTCATATATTTTCTCTAACACTGATTTTATTTATTTGCTCAATCTTTCTCCACTTCCTAGAAAATATAATCTGCAAATAAATTAGCCTTGCACTGGAAGGTTTTAGCCAATTTATAATTGCTATTTCTTTTACATCAATCTTTATGGACCGATAAAAAATATTAATTAGGCCGTTTTACGGGATTTCTTATGCAGTATATATGCGGAATACAGTACAACGACTTTCTGTTGTGAAAATGTTTTGTTCAATTTTGATAGGATTCTTTTGTACATGTTTTGGTATAATGAACAAAGCAAATATTTCATAATTTTACTGTTTCATCATCCGATAGAGTGGAAAAAAAACATTTACATGAAGTTCAAATGATATTCTCAACTTAATTTCTGATTTTTTTGGCAACATCGTTGAATTTTTTTCGACCATTTGACGTGACAGAATTGTTGGAAGTAAAAGTGTTCAAAGTAAAAAAGACACCGCCGAATAACGATTATTAGGGATCTTAAGGCAACATAAATCAATGGTAATTTTCATAAATTTGCATACTAACTTCAAAATTTGAATACGAGCCTTCTTATTCAGCTGCAGAAGGAAAATGACGAAGAAAGAGCCTGTGCTCCCACGATACCAATGAAAACAACAAACCAGAAAATTCGACAACGTTCCATTAAAATACGAAAACAAAGCTACTGGTGCTATCTGATGATGAAAACTGAAAGTAACTGTTAAATACCATCCTTAAAAGCTGAGGGTCATTTCGGATGGGAGTTTAGACCATTAACCAGAACTGAAAGATTTTTATGAATATGAAACTCTTCTAGGAAATTTAAACCGCCAACGAAAACTTTTTTTGAACACTTTTGGCTGCATACAAAAAGAAAAATGAGATTTTTTGACTAACAATTTTGGTAACAGAGAATTTATGATTTCTCATTTATCTCTTAGTGCCAAATATTAAGGCTTCTTTGTTTTTCCCAATGTATGTTAAACCATATAAACAAAGAATGCTGCATATACCCTGGAATTTTATATCCTTAACGAGTTCTTTAAATTGAGAATTGCAAATTTTATCGAAAGCAGTAAACTTCTGTAAACTGCGGGCAAACTTTTTAGGAGACTATAAAAATTATGTCGTCATTTCTTTGTTTTCATCGATTAATTATGAAATTGACACGTTATTTGATAATAAGGAATGAGAAACAGAATTTGTATGACGTCGTCATAACGAAAGATATAAACCATATTGTACTACAGCAACAATAAAGCAACTTAGTGCAATTATTTGTAGCTAAGCTTACGTAATGGGGTGACTTCACACTTTAAAGAAAGATATAATATTATGCAACATATCAGTGCAATGGGCTTCGAAACGTTTCCTTCATTTAGTAACATATTTCAAACCAATGTTTGTATCTTTCAGTCTGATAAGGCACTCTGCAATGAGCACGAAAAATAGATCCATGATTTTCTCCGAAGTCAATTAAAATATTCCTGTGGGCTGCCTCATCTCAGTTAAATTAAAATATTTTGAAGTAGAAAGGTGGTAGTTGAAGATCCAAGAAATAAAGTAGAGTTAATTAAAACTATAATTTCATGCTATTAACACCTAATTACTATAATGACCTTGACACTTGTTAGTAGTATGAACAAGCGACATGCAGTAGTAAGTAAAAACAGGTTTTTTTATTCAAATATTAAATTACACAGTACTAGCTCAAATCGCAGACGTTACTCGGACTTTGCACAGCGTAAATATACTTCATTTATGGGGATGGTTATAGATTTTTCGAAATCTCAGATAGACAAAGATATTCTATATATTTTGATTAATTATGCAAAATGTCATCAAGCTGGAACCAAACTGTAGACCTAAGACGGCGCCATGTAACGGTTTTATTAAAAAGCGATACTTGATTTGTTACCGGTCATGCCTTTTTTCGGAAAACCATCATCCACTTTGGTCGATTTCTTCACCGTTTTCAAAATATTCGGGAAAACCAGGCACAGCACGCTAAAGTCCTGCTTTAAAGGTTCTGCACCGTTCTGGAAAGCTCAGCATTGTTCTAAGGAATAAACGAACACATCACCATCTGATGGTTTCAGAAAGAACTGATAACGAGAACTCAATGATGGTAACGAGAACCTAACATGTGTCTCATGTGTGCAAAGTTCTAGTTTATACATCTTGAGTGTCAATCCCGTAGGATGGGTTTTCGAAATCTTATAAAGACGGTGCTCCTCCTGTTTGGAGCGTGCAAAAGATCCTTCTAAAACTGTAGATTTCTGTGAATTACAAGCAAGCAAAAATGAAAAAAAAAAAAAAAAACAGACACTCTTCTTTATATATAAAAAGGATTTAATGAATCCAACTAGTATAAATTTACGGATGCTGTTAGTAATTAATGACAATTGAATGAATCTGCTTTTATTTTTTAAATTACTTAGTTTGTAAATTAATTACAAAGTAAATTTGAAAGAAAAATTAAATTTCTTAAGCTTTCCTGAACTATAACATACTGCTTCTTAGAAGATAAAAATATTTTAATTTGGGAAATGGCAACAATTTTCTCTTAAATCGCTGAGTTTGTTAATTAAATTCCCAGTACAAATAAATATACAACGTTTACCTGAATGGCAGCATAATTCTTTCATATTGCCATGTTTTCTGATCAAGTTTGAAGCATAAATATCTCACGCATTGGAGATACGAAAAATAAAGCTTTCACATTGCTGAGTTTTTAATCAAACGTTTGTTAAATCAACGTACAATATATGTGTATTAAGGATACGGACCCGTGGGATGGTTTTTGGATGATCTGATGCGATGAGGACAGTGAAAGTCCTGTTCTTTTAGAGATCAACAGAGCCATATTTCATCAAGATGAGAATAAACCCACAGACGTGTATAAAAGACAAACACACATTCACTGTTCTTTATTTATGTACAAGTGTTATTTCATATTTCATTTAAATAAATTAGATGTTAAAAATTAGCCAATTGAGACAAATCCAAACTGACGTAAAATTATTCTGAACTGAGTTTTCATCTTGAACACATGGAACTCTTTCTTTCTTGCTTTGCTAACATCCACTTATAACACCTATTGCTGCTGCTTCAAATATACTTCAGAAGACTAAGGCTGCTAAACTGTTTGGAACAATTTTTCTGCTTTGTCACAACAGCCAATCACCATACAGATAACTTTGGGGTTCACATGTAAAGGGGAAACTGGTTCTCCCTTACAAACAAACCGATAGCATTCGATGCTGATTGCTGATTGGTTGAAAATTAGCAACTTAACAATTTTTTATTTTTTTTTTCAATTTGCAAGCAAGGAAGGCATTGTCTGAAACAGTTGTTCGTATGAAACAAATACGTATGTGATATGGGCCTAAAAAATACTGATCTAGTTCTTCAAGAAAAGGGGATTTATCTGTTTTGGTTTAAAAAATTTTTGCCAAAGAAAATAAAGAACTACTAGACCGGCCATTATTACAAGTATCTCCGTTTTCCTTCCAAAAATTCCACACACACACACACACACACATATATATATATAATGCGAATAATAATAGCAAAATACAATACCAGTATTATCGTTTGTTCTTAAAGAGTCCGATTCGTTCCGAGTGGTTCCATATATTAAGGAAGCGTCTATAAATATTGTGAGAGAGTTCATTTGCTGTCTCTGGCCTGAAACATATGAACGAAAGTCTTCGATTAGGAAACAAATATTCAGTGAAAGTAAATTACACTATTTAAGCTGAAATGTGAAAGTCTTCACGCAAGAAGAATGTTTCATGAAACCAGAAGTCAGAAGAAAAGAAGTAATCAAACTGTAGAAATGCTTAGACAATAATAAGAATTATGAATTGCTAGGTAAAGTACACAAAATTGAATTCTAAAATATGAAGCATTTTGAAATGAAAATGTGAAATATACGTACGAATCCTTGGCACATCTTAATGAAAGAAATTTGATGTATGCATAAATATCAAAACATAAAATTCTCACTAAATTTTAATTGGTGATTTTATATGAAATTAGGTTAAAAATATGAAAAGATAACAAAATAACTCATGATCCAAGTCTAAAAAGTCTAACATTAGTCAGATGGGTAAAAGACTAACGATTTCACGGGCTACCAGACACGTTTAAAGCCGAAAAACATCGCGGACGAAAACGTCGCCGAGAAAACAAAGCAAGGCGAAGACGTCGTCGTACATAAATAATGGGAGAAGAGAAAGCAAAGAGAAAACATCATGGTACAAACTATAGTGGTCCAAAATAAAGCGGTTCAAAAACTTCACAATTTAAAAACATAGTCGTTGAAAATATCGTGGTAAAAAATAAAGTACCTACAAATTATCGCATGACAATAACATCACACGCATGCGTTTTTCAGGTTTTAAAGGTTGTAAATGCATTTTCGCATAATGATTTTAGAGTGCAAGAAGAAAAGAAGGAAAAAGAGAGAAGATATTAACAACACTTTAAGAATAAAGCAATTTTTATAGAGGTAACGTCATGCAATTGTTTATCTTTCTTTTTCTTAATATTTTTAGGCTGTATTTTTCACGAAAAATTATCAGTAAAATTTTATAAAAATGGATTAATTTATTAATAACCTTATTAATCAACTACGTAAAATTGTAATTCCATTTAGTGCTATAAAATTGCATTAATTTTCTACTCATTTTCAATCTTTAAATGCTCAAGTTTCTTCTTAGTTTTTCAGCAAAAATTTATCAGTTCATTCAAAAATATGAAATATAGAAGTAAATATATCCTTCTTTCCTTCTTGCGCTCCCAGATCATTATTCGAAAATACACTTAGAACTTTTAAAACCTGAAAAAACGCATATGTGCGATGTTATGGTCATACGATGCTTTATAGACACATTATTTTTTAACACGATATTTTCGACGACAATGTTTTTAAACTGAGAAGTTTTTGAACTGCTTTATTTTCGACCACGATATTTTGTACCACGATGTTTCAGAACTGCGGTGTTTTCTCTTTGCTTTCTTTTCTCCCACGATGTTTTCTCCTTGTGTTTCTTCCGCGAGGTTTTTGGCGGACAACATCAGACACAGATCTCCGTAGAGGAGAAAAATTTTTTTTAATTTCTATTTATTTTTCCCCCCAAGAAAAGAGGTTTTTGATCACAAGAAGAGAGGTTTGTAGCCTGAGAATTGATTTTTTTCTCCGAAATCAATGTCAAAATCATGTTCTTCTTTGCCTTATTTAAAATTTTACACTGGTGTGTTTCTTCTTCTAATTAAACTCAAGTCATTGCTAGCTTCTCGAGCTTTTAAATTTTCTGTACATGTAATTTAGCATATAATATAATACTTCAATCTGAATTTTTATTTTGTTGAAACTATTTAACTTTTTAGTTTATCCAATTTCCAAAAAAATAGGTCCTATAAGAGAGAAAAACATCAGTGTCTATTTATCACATTATTGTTTTAAATACATCCTAAATCAAAATATTAATGACAGAAAATCACATATCAGGAACAAACGCACTATTTGCAGTTTAGCGCGCCTTTGATAATTTCCCTGTCAATCTTGCAATTACGAAAAATTTCTAAGTAGGCGTTGAAGGGTCTGTAATATTAAACGAAACTATGGTATAGTTCTTGATGAAATTTGTCTAAAATAATTAATCATGAAATCCTAAGTACCTCGCTCAATTTTGTTAGCATTATAAAGAGTATTTTTTCCATGAAAAGATGGCAGCAGTTTTTATTATATTTGCGAATCTGCATGTTATTCCTTTGCACTGCTCTTTCATAGAAAAATTAACTATAAATGCATAATTTTTAAGATTCTTGTTTTGTTTTCGTTTTACTTCATATTATAGTTTCATATTTGTAAATTTTGAAAGAAACTTGATTTAGGAAACGAAACTTTTTGTACATATTTCAAAATTCAACTAATTTTGTTAAGTTGCATATATATATATACATATAATATATATATAATGTATAATTTTTGAATGAATATAAAATAATGTAAAGTATCTTAATTTTCTAACTGTCTTCTAGGTTTTATTTTTACCGCAAAACTTAAGGTAGGTTTTATTTTTACCGCAAAAGCTGCATACAATACATTAACAGTAATTTTATTCTACACTTTAAGGGAAATTTTTAATGTTTCTAATTATTTTGCTTATATTTACTCATGCTTGAGTTCCCATAGTATTGTTTTAGATTATTAGTATATAGGACCTTCCTCTCTTTGGCCACATAAACTTTCCTAGATCCTACTAAGGAATCTGGCGACTTCTCGCTCAGGCGTGAAATAATACCAGCACAGCAGAAGGATGAAAACAACCCTTTGTTATTATCAACTATGAATAGAAGGGCACGTACTTTTGCTTTACAATAACACCGACAACTTGCGGTGAAGCTTAAGAGTTATTACACAAATCAGTTCAAGTCTAAAGAGTAGTGCTGAAATAGCACTTTAAGACTGACTAGGTTGACTCGACAATCTACCCGACGTGATAATTATTTAAATGGCTAAAAGACGTATTCAGCAACTTCGCGTAACAGCAAGGTCAGAATCATAACGTGTGCTGGCTAGGGAAAACACGCTCTCAATAAACTCCACGATTCATCCATTTAAATACTCACTTCTCTTTAACTTTTCCTGGCGAGGAAATGCGAGGGGAAGTTGAGGAGTTCAGGAAAGTTAACAAACGTTTGAATAATTGGTTTATTGAGCTAAGGAAAACCCCACAAGTATATATTATTTACTCCTAGTAATTAGAGATTTTACATTAATGATATGTATAAATTCAATAGGAGTATTTTAAATGATTTACAATCCTCAATTTCCTATTCAAATGCATAATCTTAGCGTAATAATTTTATACATAGAACTCTCATTATAACCAGTGATGAAATATAATTTAAAATTTTGATTTAAAAGACTACATTTTCTTAAATAATAACTTGTAATGTATTCCTACCTAATGTGCATACTGGACAAATTGCAGATCGAACAAAATTAATACAAGTCACGTCATAATTAGAGTAAAAGGGGTCGTCACCCCTAATTCTGATTGGAGCACACTGAGGATGTGTTTCTGGTTCTGGTGGACAACACTCGATTGCTTGATTATCGACTGAAAAAAAATTATAAATGTTATTGCTTCATAAACATCATTAACTAATTCTGATAAAACATGGAAATTAAAATAAATAAATAAATAAATGAGCTTATTCATAATGAAGAAGTTTTCTCATTAGACAGATTCTATGAGGACATAAAAGTAAAAATGTATTGTTCTTCCCATTAAAAAGGCAAGCTTTTACAAAAGAATGATTTCCACTTTGATCTTCAATCTATTACTTCGCAATCGATGTAAAACATAGATTTTAATTTTCAAAATCATAGCAATATGAGTTTAAGCTTAGATTTTTCCAAAAGGTATCAGCAAAATAGCCATCAAAATTCCTTCTTGTAGCAGAAGAGGTAATTGATGCATACACAATGCGGAGAAACAGACAGAGTTTAAAACAACGATTTCATTTATAAATTGTGCTCAAAATCCAGTTTCAAGCATCACCATGTCCTGTGTCTTAGTTCTCACCATGGATGTAATAACTTCTCATCTCTATAGCTCTCATTAATTATGTGCTTTCTTCACTATATTTGAGAAGGGCAGAGTGGAAATCTTCGATAAAATTAACTAAAAAGGTTAACCAAAAAGGAACAAGACAAAATTAAATGTATTAAATATAATCTAGTATTAAATATAATCGGCACCTCTTTTAAAGTTATCTGATTCCGTATTTATGCACTGATTCAAATGTGTCTTCTATGATTAGTATTTTTCCTGAGAGACTTTTAATTAGAGAGTTCTACAACCCTCTATACTTTCATTGAAGGGTTCATGTAGAACATTCAACGTAGGTTTTAGTCTTGCAAATAAAGTAATCTAAAAGTATAAAATTTTGTGAAAAAGGAATTGAGGAAACACAAAATAGTTCCGTCTCTGCTGAAAACATTTGTGTTTGTGGTTTAAAGTACTGTGGGCACCTACCACAAAAATACTCTTTTTCAATCGCCTTAAAATTTTACAGCTAATTACATCACTAGCTACATTTCATTACAATTAAGACATCACTAGCTGTTTGCCCAGGTAGAACGAATAATAGAAGCACAGTCCCTTGCATGTATGAAAATGCTATTGACAGTGTCTTCTTGGCATTCTAGCTTTCCTAAACCACTTGGATTAACTCCATTTTGAGGCTCATTACTTAATTTTATTGCAGTACCTATGAATCAGGCTTATTGCTACTATCTCAAATAGTGACTTACAGTAACAGCAAAATAATTTGATTCGGCTTGATGACTTGACTTAACAGTCAACCCAAGTCTCAGAGAATATTAGACACAACTTGTGATTAATGATTTCCAAGAAGCATTCCAGTAATGATGTTACACTGAATTTGGTGAACAATGCAAAAGTATACAACTTTGAAAAGTTGGCTTTAACATTCTTTAGTCTGAATAATGATGTTTCAAATGACTGCAGAGACATCAAACAAAATGACAAAGAAAAGCGAAATTCGTAATAAAGAATTGCAATCTTTTAGTACATTAGGAATAGGGAAATTACCAAATTTCGAATTGTTTTGGCGATAATAAAGAAATGTGGTATAATATGCTTTCTAATTAGTTTTTAAAGGCAAAATTTTATGACTTACCCGTTGTACTGCCAGGTGTGAGTGTTAAGTCATGATCTAAAAATTGTCCAAAGAACATGTACATATGTGTGACATAATTAGTTGGTCGATTGAGATGGGAATGGACGTTTAACGAGAGTGTTCTTGGCTCAGGCAAGTCACCTCCCAACACAGATCTTCGAAATCCACTCTCACCTAAAAATATGAAATAAATTAAAGAGGGAAAACCTTTTTTACTCACTAATGAAATCATTTTATTAATACATTTTGTTATATAATTATTAATAGAATAAATAAATGTGAAGCACAAGACAAAATGCTAAGATCGTTCGAAGCATTTTTTAATTTAAAAAATCCCATTAATGTCAAGTTTTTAACAGATATATACGAAGATTTTTAAAAATCCAGTTTTAAGATCTCCCTTTTTTGTTCTTTCCCCTTTTTCACTTTATAAAACTTGTACGCAGAGAGATACGCATAAGAATCTTCAATAATAATATAAAACTATCTGAAGTGCAATTCATTATTGAATTGTCTTGGAATACTGGGTGTTTCATATATAATGGAATAAAAGGAACGCATACCTGTGAATGCTGTAATTAATTTATTTTGATAAATAAAATTTACAAGAAAAAAAAAATCTGAAATGTTTCAGATTTTAAATTACGTCCAAAGGGGCGTTTTTTAACATTTTGTGTGTTACCTTTCTTTATTAAATATCATGTTCCTCGCACTTAAACCATAAGATCCAGTGCAACAGCAATATCGCAAAATAGTTTTAAAACGAGCATATCTTTAGAATTTCCGATACAGAGACTCACGCGCTGGAGATAAAAATGTTTTTTCTGCACAACGTTGCCATTGCTCGCTTTGAAATCCTTGAGTTGTTAATCAAAAATTCGTCAAAGTTTTAAAAAATAGGAAATCGATCATAAAACAAATTTCAAATTTCAAATTTGGTCTTCCACATGCTCATATTCGTTGGAGGATTACGTTATTCAAAATTCGATGACTCTATGTACCGTTGTTTTATCAGAATACGAGAAATATACATACATTTATGCAGATTTTTCATTATTTAATTTCTCCAAATAATAATGCAGGACTCTAACATTTTGTGGCAACAGTTTGAAAAGTGAGCCGACATTTATGAGTCCGACGCAAAATGCCAAAACGAAACTAATAGTCCTTCGGGATTCAAATCCCTTTGGACTAAAAACTATAGCTATCCAATCCCGAGCAATTTCTGTCTTGATTATGAATTTAAGTTAAATTTGCCATTTCACAAAATGCGTAGTCCAGGCTTTCAAGTGAAGCTATTAAGAGATGAAATTACTAGAAAAGGCGCAAAATTAGCAACAGAATGTCAGAAAGGCTTATTATTCATAACATTTAATTTTAAAACATATGAAGAGACACAGTCTTGAAATATCGTAATTCGAGTAAAAACAATTATTAACACCTTTTAGGATAATTAAAAAGCATTATATTCTTAATATTACGTTCATTTTCGCTGCTGCGTAGCCAAATTTCTGTTTTCCTGTGCTCATTCTTCTAGCCATTTTCTTAGCTAGGCTGGTGCGTATATCAGTTTATTTAATAGAGCATAGAACCACCGTAATACGCAGCAAAGTTCTTTAAATACTAGTTGACTTGCTTACTTTATTACCTTCTGGCAATCTGGTTTCTACAGCATATATTTTTACAGTATAGTTTCCATTAATTTAGGACAAGAGGTTAAGAAAATTTGTTGTAATTGTTGGAAGTTATCTCACTTGTCTGACAGTAAGATCAGAATATGCTCACAAACTTCATCGTGGCAAGAAGTGCAAGATTGTGCCTGGCGTTGGGAAGGACCTTCAGCACTATACAGGTGGCAGTACGACTTTGCTCAGTTCTCCCCCCCCCCCAATTTTGGCGGAGAAAGGGCCAAAGGAGACGGGTTGTGGGTCTCCCAACCCTCTTCCCCTACCACCAACCTTTCGAGAGGATTTTCAGCTCGCCGCATATTTAGAGGGTCCCCATGCCGCACAGACACTAACAGACACTACAAATTTACAAACAACAATGCATTCTCCGGTATTCGAGTTGGAGCCCATTGGTACGGTAGTTAGCATCGCTAACCACTATCCGGTTGGACGCTTCAAGAAAAGTTTTATATTATATATAATTAATTTGTGGCTTTAAAGAAGAATCAATGGCATTAATTCATTGTCAAATATGCTACTGAAGAACTGCATAACCTATTTTCTTTATTAATGGTTATTATTTGAACTTGCGCATTGACATTGAATTATGTTCAATAAATTGCGCTGAGTTAAATGGCCTAAGAAAGCTATGCCGCCCATATCAGTGTTCTGTACCATAGCTTTTACTGCAGTTTCGTCTATCAGGAATCGCATTGAATTCGAGTGAATTAGAGTTTAATTCTGTGAGACCTAACCCATTAACATTTATTGGAATAAGATAGAGATAAAATAAGATTTTTCTGAAAATCAAATAGATATCATAATTAGCCCAAAGAACGTTAGCCCAGAAGGGCTATTAATTTCGTTTTTGCGTTGAAATCTTTAAATGTCTGTCGCATTGTGATAAAACAACTCTACCCAGAGCCATCGAATATTGAATAACGTAACTCTCCGCCAAATATGGGCATCTAGAAGCCCTAATTTGGAATTTAGAATTTGTTTTATTATTGATTTCCATATTTTGTAACATTTAAACAATTTTTTATTAACAAACTGAAGGATTTCAAAGCAAGCAATGGCAACGTGGTACAGAAAAAACATTTTTATCTCCAGCGCGCGAGACTGTGTATCGGAAATTCTAAAGATATGCTCATTTTAAAGTTATTTTGCTATATTGCTGTTGAATTGAATTTTATGGTTTAAGTGAATAGAACATTTAATAAATAAAGGTTACACACAAAATGTTAAAAAAAAGTCCCTTTGGGCGTAATGTAAAATCTGAAAGCTGTCAGCTTTCTTTATTTTTTATTAGTTTTTTTATTATTCTCTTGGTCCATTTTCCGTTATGAAGTTTTCGTTAAACGAGCTTTCATCCTATTTTATTCATACTTAATTTCTCCTAAAAACTGCATGACTGGTTTCATTTACGGTTTTTCTTGTAATAGCTACAACTATTGCTATATCAGCACCTCATTTCATCAAGCAAATCGGCACCTCATTTTAATTTCTGTCGAAAAGTTTAAAAGAGATCAAATAATGCATGATTCTTTTACGGAGCCTTTTATTGCTCCCAATGCAACACTGAAATTTGGATACTAAATGTCCAATATAAAAGAAATGAAAGAGATAGTTTAAAATTCCGAACTTTGCTGTAGAAGAATTATAACAAATCCATTTTGCTAATTATAGGATACAAATATTGAAGATTGTAAAAACACAGATTTTCACCAATACCGGTGATGTCGAGGAAAAGCATTACATAATTCCAGAGAACTTTGGTGATAAAGGTAGCATTAAATAAACATTGTTTCTAAAGAATAACTGCAACTAAAACAAGTGTTTTCTTTATTAAAAACTTTATTAAAATAAAAACTGGTTTCACCAGTGGCCGAGTGTTTAAGACAGCTGGATGCTCGAGTTTAACCCTGCTTCGATCCTAGTTGAACCGTCGTGGCTGCGCAGCTGGTTTTCATGATTTTCCTCAAGCTCATAAAAACACTGTCCAGTTTCTCATATAAAGTTGCCCACTAAGGCCTCCTTTCCCTAATATAGATAGCTCATGTGCTTTGCCGTATTCAAATAACCTAAATTAGTCTAACGTAAAACAACGCCTAAGTTTAAAAAAAATCTAAAAGTCTGTAGTACTTGGTAGTAAGTAAGATTTTTGTGAAATAATAGTAACCAAACTCTTCGTTTGTCTATGATTATTTATTACTCATTTGCACTTATTTGTCGACCAGCGGTCGAGTGAATAAAATCAATGAAGACAATGAGTTCGACTTAAGTTTACATTCTGTGAGTAGCTTGGCTACATGGGAGGTTTCATAATTTTCTCCATGTGTAATATGAATACGAAGAAGTTTCCATCAGAAGATCCTCCACGAGGGCATCCCTCCCTTCAGACAGATACTCCTAGAGTGCTTTGCCATGATCTAGTAAATTAAGTAAATTCATATGAAACGTAAATATGATCCATATCCTCTTAAAAAGCCTTCCACTAAGACGCCTTCTCTTAACCAGATCGCTGTTTCGTGCTTTGCTCTTAATTAATTAACCAAACAAAATCAAGAACTTTTTAATTATTTGCGACAGAAATTAATATCACATATTTTGTGTAATTTTCATTCTGTTATTATTACATAAAATTTAATAAATGTATCAAATTATATAAGTTTCAAACGATAAATCATTGCAATTAGAAGAAAATAATGGCATCCTGAAGCATATCACTTTTACGTTTTAACGTACGTTATCTACTTGGATATGAACACCACAAGAAACGAAAGACGTAAATAAAGTCTTTCAGTTAAAAACTGTAACTGTTACGCTTAAAGGAAGAATTAACCTCGTTTCCAGTCATGGCGAATCGACAGGCTGCATAGCCGTCTGTTGTTTTCTCCGAAAGCAACGTAAAAAAGAGCTTATTTCCCTCAGAAATTTCTCTATAAAAAATTTTATCTTTAGACAGATAATACCCGTATTCTTTATCGCATTGAATTAAATAAATAAACATATACATTACCTGACAATGGGGATATAATTTTGGTTGCATAATCTGCAACTTGCAAGAAATACCCTGCTGAACGATTTGCATAAATGACCTGAAATGCAGATTTGCCATATAATAAGCTAAAGAGATAAAAGCAAAGAAAACATCAGAGATGTCAATAAAAATGTGAATCTGTCGCCACGATAAATCCATTTTTCGAGCTATGCCTAGTTGAAGAAAGGCTTGGCAGCTTATGCTGAAGTCACTTTCGACAATCAGACATTTTCGCGAAGAATTTCATTTTAGACTTACGATCGAGCAGATGGTTGCATCGAAGCTGAAATAAACCTATACGAGTCTATTGTGCAAAGGATTTTGAGAAAATGGTTTGGAGAAGGGGCTATGAATCGTGCCAAGGTTAATGGGAAACCTAGACAGACGTTAGTATTACATGGAAAGATTGCTATTGTTTGCTTGATTTGTCCCAGCGTGAGTAGGAAGACAAACTGTAACAATTTGTTCAAAGCATATGTTCATCCATCCTTAAGGACATTGTCAGCAAGCTAATTTTCTCTCTACCTGGAAGTGATATTTCTATTATCGCCGAAAGAGGTGGTCCTTTTTGATAAAAATAACCTTGTATATTCCATTACCATATTGCGTTAACTTTTTGAAATTAAAATCATTTATTTATGTATTCATCTGTCTGCGAATTTTCTTCATATTCTTCTCACTCTTTCATGATGCTGAATTGCTGAATATTTTCCTCAGGCAGTATATAAGACAATTATCTCTCTTTTATAGCAGATGAATAAACAATATTTCTGAAAATATTCTTGGGAAATGAGAAAATTTATCTTCATTTGAACATATTAAGATTATCTTTCGTCAAATTAATTAAATAACTGAATAGATAAAAAAGAATTCCATATGATATTGAGCAGGTGGATACCTGATGGATCTTGAGTCGCACATTGCCCCACCGCCGTTTTCTATGCAGGCGATTAAGTCAATAAAACTTATTACTGACTAAATTTCCGAATTCGTGCCTGTTTTTTTAGTTCTGATCTTCTTCGGACTACCATTATGCAAAGATTATTCTAACAATAACAATAATCTTTACAAATCTAGAAATAACTGGTATTTTTTGCTTCATAACACATTCTGAATACTTGCTAAATATAACGTACACTGTATAAGTTCATACAAAGGAACAGCTTATATAGGCTTTCCATAGTAAATAAGTTCCCCTACTGAAGTAATGTCGTGCGCTAATATTGCGTAAAATTACCTTGATACTACTTCAGTCTCCACAGTATCTAGACATTCTTATTTCAACTGAAAGGGTTATTCTTTAGTTTTGGTTGCCATTACTTTAAATTACTACAGAAAACTTGTAAGTTAAGATCGTAGTTATTTCTAGAGAAACCTTGTAAGCCAAGGTTTCTCTAGAAATAACTACGATCTTTGATAAGTCTACGTGAGGTTAAAAATATGCGAATATTTTTGAAAAGGTATTGTTACTATCCCGAATGTAGTCGGCTTTGAAGTACTTTATATTTAAGTACTTTTACTAGAACGCTAAGCTGAAAGCATCGTAATAAAGAAAAATGATATGGAATTACTATTCTTACCGGTATAATAAGCAGGTAACAACCTTCTTTGACAAGAGAATGTTCTTCCCCAATTTGGATTTTCAAGATTGTTGCAAGATCCATCCAACGTTCGATAAACAGAACTTCGGTCACATCGGGGTGCATTCTGACCGGACATACAGTCATTGATGGCCTTTTCGCAGTTATCTCCCTTTAACTTCCTTTTAGACAATGTGTTTACAATATGTTTCTCACTTAGGTTATACCTGTACTCAGAAGTAGAAAAACAGTATTTTAATAAAATATTTTGTAACTTGTTTTGAAACGAATCTATAGTACTGAATACACTTCCATACATATATTATTAGATTGCTGGGAACTACTAAACGGTTTAATGCAAACTATTACAGTGCTTCCGCGATGGCAGTTTCTGACCATACAAAGAATCCATTATTTTGAAGATCCTTTCCATTAAGTACAAAGTTCGGCTGTGGATGGCAGTAGACCTACATATAAGAGCTGACTTGTAGAAAATCTAGTTCTGCATACCAAGCAAAAAATCTTAAAAGATATAAACCATCACTCTGACTGATAATCTACGGCCACTTGATTTGCCTGTCAGGCTTCAGTCCCGCTACTAACAGTTCGCCTGTAATCAGATTGCGGTTTTTTCTCTGTTTTCTTACTGTTGGATCGATATCGGGATTACTTCCATTGCAACAAAGCATAAAAAAGTATCTCTATGTCAAGATAAAACTCGTGTTATGATAAAGAAGGAATTGGCTAAGCCTCAGCTGAAACAAGAATCTGCTTGGCATAAAGTGTTGCTGTTTGTTTAGTGTAATTGCTGCCAGTTCCTTAAGAAGACAACTAGCCATCAACTGCACTATTAACAACTGCAACTAACAAATGTCTTTAAGATGCATCAATTGTATAATTTTTTGCGCATCTTCCGTCACAAGGGAAGACTACATCCGATTAGGGTAACTCGTCAGAAATTATTACGAATGAGAAATTCTGTGTTCCCCGCTGCATAACCTAGATCTTGCAAATGTTTGCTGTCGCTTGGCTGCATCTTCGAGATATTCTCCAGCAAAGGCAAGCTGAGTAAGGAACTAACAGAATTCTTCATTTTTAACACAGCTCATTTCTTCAGGAATAGAGTTCGAGTCTATCTGAGTTGTTGATAAAAGATTATCGATGTAGCTATTATTTATGCTTCACAAAGATAACCTTAAATTTATACGAAATTAGCATTCATGACCTACCATTAAGAGAATCAGAGATTTCCCAGCAATCTAATGCATTTAAATATGTGTGCATAGTCATTAAAATGAAGAAAAATAAAACTTGTTACTTTCTGTAGATACTGCTGGTGACTGCCTCAAAAGGAATCTGTTTGTATTCGTTGATATAGACCAAAGGATCCGTGTTCTTTCTCCTGAGAAGGCTGAGATCGGAAACTTTAGTCTTCAGTACCCTTCCTTTCAAAATAAAACAATGGTACCAAATGTTTTAGTTTTGTTACGTAATAAATTCATCACAGTGATCTTTATTAGGATAATTATCTCCTAAAACTATTATTTAATGGACATATAGGTCAAACGTTACGTTTACAAAAATTTCAGTAAAATATTTACTATGGGAAACGTAACGTAAAATTACTTAAGATAATACTTAACTAATATTTTATGAATTACCACATACATAATATTGAATAAATGTATAAATATATATGAAAATAAATTTATTATTTAATTACTACAATTATAATTGAAATTAATTTACTAATTAGTACTTTTATGGGATATAACTTAACTTTCAATACACTACGTATTTCTTAAAATTTAAATTCTTAAAATTAAATACACTACGTATTTTCTAATTTTACATAAGATGTCACTAAGCTTTGACGATCTTTTTGGCAACATATATTTGTATTTAATTTTCATCTTCAAATATTTTATTTAATTTTTTAATTTGGGAAAACGTTACCGTAGAACAGTAAAGAAGAGGTCCAAAAATTTTTATTTGTCTGGACAGACTCTATCTAGCTTTCATCTTTTTAATTTAATACATTGTAAGTCGTTATGTGATTTTAAAATTACGTGTTGCCTATAATATTGGGTCATGTAAAATGTCTCCCCAGTTTTTTTAGACTAAAGTGTTGATGCCTATATAACCAGCTACACTCACCCGATTATCTCAAATGAACACGTGCTTAAAAGGTGACATTCAGCTTCCATTATTTGTGAAGATAGTTTTCTAATTCATTGCTCGTATAAAACGTTATATTGATTTGAAAATGAGTGAAATATCTGAAGAAATACGCTATATAATGCTTTACTGTTTTACTATTAAAAAGTTGACACGCTCCAAAAATATGCCGAAAAATTTGTGAAGTGTACCGTGAGAATGCGGGGAGTGATTGAAGGACCCAAGAAGTGTTTGCTCTATTCCGTTCCGGAAATGTCGATGTCTAAGATGCACCTTTGTCTGGGCAGTCAATCACTGAAACGATCGATGAAATTTGGCAACTGGTGGGGCAAGATCGCCCTCAAGCTGTCAGGAAATAGTTCAGTTACTAAACATCAACCACATGGCAGTTTGGAATCATTTGGAAAGAGCTGGATTGTCGCCAAACAAGGTTATGTTGAGTGTTTGGTGAGATTGGAAAGTAAATTGTCCGTTATGAGTGTCTGCAACCAGGAGAAACCTCAATTCGGCCCTGCGCTGTGCACAACTCAATCGTTTGAACGAAGCAATCCAGAAAGAGCGACCAGAATTGGCAACAAAAAGGGAGTTGTATTCCATCATGACAATGCGCGGCCACACGCATCTTTGATAACTTATGACAAAGTGAAGGAAACTGATTGAGAAGTTTTGATGCATTCACCGTACCCGGGCCTTGCTCCGTTTGACTCTGTTTGGTCTCTGAAAATCTCAAGTGCCTGACCCCAGCCACCACCCCAAACTCTTATTGGACAAGACGCAAAAAGCCTTTTTGCGCACCAAAAGCTTGAGCCCGAGGCCATTTTAGTGCTAAAACGGACGAAGCGATGGGCGAGGGTAGAATAATTTGCCATATTTGCAAAAAAAAAATTACAAAAATAAGAAGCAGCTTCAGAATATACATGAGATTAGAAAAAATGGTAGGATTCGATGTGTAGTCGATAACTGTTTAGCAGTACTTTTTGTCGTTAGATGAATATCGAAGTCATTTGTCAATAAGCACTTTTTATAGGATATAAAAGTTAAGAAACAAAGTAATAATGCAAAAAAAAGCATAACTCCAATTGACAAAATCAAATAAACGATGTTATAAGTGCTCTCAAAATATCTTATAACTTTATCTAATTTTTAATCGTAAATGAAGAGAAATAAATGCCTAGACTTAGAAAGTAAAAAATTAATCTGACTACGAACAATTTTGATTCCAAACAATCTCTATATATCAAACATTTAATAAATGAAGGGAAGGTTATTTATTTAACAAACAGTTCATTTTTATGAAAAAACAACTAGCTTTTACATTTATATCGCTTTTAGAAACACTTTTGTTTTTGTAAAATAAACAGCTAGTTCATGAAAACTGCGGCAGGCAAGTTTATTCTACACAATAAGTACTATTTGTTGACATTGCTGAAGAAGCAAATCCTTGTTAATGTCTCCTGCTATATGAAATTATACAACGAATTTCCTAAATATCAGTATAGCGCTACGAAATGCGATGAATACAGATGCTTCCAAATGGTATTTACACATCATAAAGTTTATCGATTCCAATTAACATGATCTAACAATTTAGATAAAAAGCGGCGACATATTTTCTTATACTGTTATGCTTGTTTTAATTGCAAATATTTTGTTAAATTGCACACATTCACATTAACACAAGACATAACCAAGGGCAAAATAGTATATTCCCCTTGACATAACTCAAACGAAACAGGTAATGGAATTTAAGCCTGACGTCATTAACGACAACCAATAAGAAAAGGTGTGGTGGCTGGGGCCAGGCGCTCGTCTGAAAAACTCTCTTGATAGTAAAAGATTGGCCGACCGAAGCGCCGCTGAAAACTACTTGGCCAAGTTTTTCGACTATAAACCACAGAAGTTCTACACTGATGGAATTACCAAGTTACTCGAAAAATAGCAAATGGACATAGATAATAATGGTCAATATCTAATTGATTAAAATTGATTTTCAATAAAAAAATGTTTGTTCGAAAGCGTACGAAAAAAACCTTGGAGACTTTTTATATGGTCCTCTGATAAAAAAATGTACCGGAAATTTTAGTTTAAAGTATACAAGAAATCATTCGCAAAGTTTTTGAAGAAAAAGTTTTGATTTACATCACCATTTGGCTACAACCCAATATTTAATTTCATTTTATTGTTTGCAAATAAATTCTTTTCTAATCAGTTTGAAATTCCTTAAAATTGTGAATAATAACTGAGTATGCATTAAATCTTGCTTTCGCAAAATTAAATGTGATACAAAATAGCTTTGTCTAAAAATGCAAGATTTGTTAAATAGTTAAGGTATTTAAGGTGAATTGCGACCCGTCTCTACTAATGAATATTATCTCGGTGAAGTCAGAGATGGTTGTTTAACAATTAAGGATATTATTGATATCTGAAGCATTTTTGAATCTATCATTCCAAAAAATGATATCTTCTAATATTATTTGTTTAGAATATGAAATATCTATATGATTATCAAGCAGTTTTGAAAAACTATTTCAGTTTTCAGCATGTCGCTTCTTAAACTGTTCCAAAAACGTTGCATTTCTTCCAGAAATAAAAATGTGTTAAAATTTACCAGATGTCTTTCTTCTCAACTTCTGTCCGTAAAATGCTTAAACAAATAATGATCAAACACGGATTGACAACGCTTTTATTACAGAAACATCTCAATGATTAAAGAATAATGCTCTAAAGATGAAAACAGTTTTGAAAAGACCACAACAGGGTTGGTAAAGGGAGAGTTTCCTTTTATTATCTTGGTGATGTGCATCACGAATTTTTACAAATAGACCGAACTGTTAACAAAAACTATTATTTCAGTATTTCGCGGCATTTGCATGAAGAAGTGCTTAAAAATGACCTGCATTGTCACAAGATAACTAATATATTATGCATTACTTTGTTCATAGTGCTCTAGTAATGTATTAATTTTTGATCAACAATTCAATAAATTCGGCTTTGGAAACTCCGTGCTTACCTGGTTGTTTAACAATTAAGGATATTACTGGTATAGCAATGTGAAATTTTCTTTTTTCCATGGCTAAAAATGCCAATTCATATTCACTGTTTTGAATTTTATTTCTTGAATAAAAGGAAATTCACTGCCAGTCTTGAAGGGATTTCACAATGATGACTTTAAAACATATTTCGAAATTTGGAAAAAGCCCTGACGTAAGTGAGCTGCCATTAGACAGTATTATACTTAAGCTTATGTAATAAATATTGCCAAATCTTGTATTATATGAAATCTTCTTGATTCTTTCTGATCACAATAATGTATATTATTCACATTTTTATATTAATTATTCAAACTTGCATGACAATTGGGAAGACAGTCATTTGTTCTCGTAATTCTGATTTTCTAACTTCCGTATGTGAGATAAATTATTTAAGCCAAGAAGAAATAATTCAGAATTATAGATTATCAGTAGCTGAAAGATAAAAAATATAAACGTATAAAAATTTTCTGCGATCCATTGTTCAAGAAGCTAGAATATTAAAATAATTAATTTTAGAAACTTATATTTCGGGAATGAATATTATATAAATGATATATCATTTTACATTGAAACATTTGAAATATAAATACAGTAAAACGATTCACATAACTATAATTATGGGGAACTGTATTAATTCGGATCGCGTTTGAGGCCAATTAAAATTAAGATTCCAAATAATTTATATATGCGTTTTTATTTTTCGTTTATTTAAATAACATGGTAGATAAAACAGCAAAGTATTTTATTTTACGAAACTATTAAATTCATTTAAATGTATGTTCTTGATATGTTTTTTTTTTTTTTTTTTTTTTTTTTTTTTTTTTTTTTTGTACACAATAAGAATAGTTTTTGTATTTCAATAAATATGTGACGTACATTGATCTCATTAAATTGAGTAACACGTTGGACATACACTGACGGGAAAAAAGTCCCAGAGCCAAGAAAACATTATTGTAAAGTAATGAAATTTCGGCAATACATTTGTCTAGGTAACATACAGGGTGTCCGAAAAGTCTTTCCCTGATTACATAAATTCATAACTCAGGCTAGAACTAAGATAACAAATATGAAACTTGTGTCGAATTGTTTACAAACTATCAAAGTTATTTTCTGTTTTAGGTTCGCAGTACGTAAGTATTGGATGAGATGCAGCGCCCAAGAAGCCATGTTAACCAATCAGGAGAAACCACAGTGCAGAGACACTTCCAGACAACATTTGGAAGGAATACACCTGA